TGGCTGAGGCTGTTTTCCGTCAGGGTACCGTGCTGCTGAGGAAAAGGAGCACAACACGTTCTTCTGTTTTAGGAGCAGCATCGTTTTCAAGTCCCATCTGCGTATGTCTCTCAATTCTTCCTCCTTCTGTGTTTGACAGGTGATACTCTGATCGTTGAAGAGGATACGTCCAAACCCAAGACCGACTCGCCTGTAGTTGCCAAAAGAACAATGTCTAACTCGGTTAGGGAAGCCGTGCCTGTGCTTGCGAGGAGGGTTGTTCCGGCAGATAACTCCTGTCTCTTCACCAGTGTGTACTATGTGGTGGAGGGAGGCGTTTATGACCCGGGTTGTGCTCCGGAGATGCGCAGCCTTATAGCTCAGATAGTAGCGAGCGATCCTGAGTCTTATTGTGAGGCAGTTCTAGGGAAAATGAACAGGGAGTATTGTGACTGGATCAGAAAAGAAGAGACTTGGGGAGGAGCCATCGAAGTGTCTATTTTATCCAAATTTTACCAGTGCGAAATCTGTGTGGTGGACACACAGACCGTCAGAATCGACCGTTTTGGGGAAGATGCCGGTTACACTAAGCGGGTCCTTTTAATTTATGATGGGATTCATTACGATCCACTTGAACGTAAAATCCCCGACTCGGACATTCCTCCCCAGACCATTTTCTCCACAACTGATGATATTGTTCTTGCGCAAGCATTGGAGTTGGCAGATGAAGCCAGACGGAAGAGGCAGTTTACCGATGTGAATCGCTTTACGCTGAGGTGCATGGTGTGCCAGAAGGGACTAACTGGACAAGTGGAAGCCAGAGAACACGCCAAGGAGACGGGACACACCAACTTCGGAGAAGTGTGACACCTACATGAGGATGGTTACATCGACTACCTCACCGATCCAGAATAAAATTCTGGATTTCCAGATAAGCTGTATGTAATCATAAAATTCCGTTCACAAAGCTTGAAAAGCATATTAACTTAATGATGGCCAAGACGCACAGGTTTGTTATGGTTAGTGACTTTTCCAATGGATTTGAAATAGGTATCTTCTCGCATGCTGATTTATAGTACTTTGGCAGGTGGTATACACAGGCAGCTAAAACCTGATTTCTGAAATAATCTTCTCTTTGTGTATGTGATCTGAGTGGACATACAAAATCAGGCTTGTTCAACACTAGCGTAAAATCTAGCCTCAAAGTTGCTGAATTAATCTCTCTGTATTACGTTTTCAGGGTAATTAAATTAAGGATTTGGGTAACACACGTATCAGCATTACTTATACTAAGAATTAAACTCTGCACATACAAGCAGTTCTTGCAGGGGAAACTGCTCATTTGCTGCACAATTTTTAATGGAAAGAGTATCTCCAAAGCTGCCCTATACTATGTTACCATTGGAAGTAGACTGTATTGTTTGTGTGAAGTCATGGCTTTAGAGAAAGAAATGGCCTCTAAGCTTTAAAATAGCCTTCTTTAAATTAATGAGTAGATGGTTAAGTGTTGAATAAACTTATTAATCCTCCGTAGGTAGTTTTTAGTTGCTTGAAAAATAACTATCAACCCCCCAGTGTTTACACTGCATCAGAACGTAGGCATGTTTCTTGAAATACTTTGGATTCTTCTTCATAATTGTATCTGAAATTCTGGCAAGAGGGAAATACAGTAGTTAGGGAAGAGACTTAATTTGCATCTGTTAAATACATTTAAGCAGACTTTACTTGGGTATAGTCGATCTCATGGCCACAGTGTTACTAAGTTGTAAATCAGTACTTTAATTCCAAATACTGTAAATTAGCACTTTAAGGTACAGTTCTCACTCTTTGCCGGTAAAAAGTTTTGCCCTTTTTAGAAGGACAGAGTGCTAACCCAGAAGGGAGGCTTGAAGTTTCTTCATCTGCATTCTGCCTTAATGTGTTTGATTTGTCACCGATGACTGTTCAGTAGCAAGACTTTAATTCTGATAATGAAGGGTGCAGTTTAATTGTTAGAACAAAATAAGCTGCGTACACTGCCCTACTTCTCGTACTGTTCAGAATCAGGGAAGTTGAAATTGGTTTAATATATCTTACCTCACAGCGGGGTTGTGAGGCTTAACAGTAAGTGCTTTTGAGGTCTTTTAAAAGGTGCTGTAAAGGTGCGTATTACTGAAAGGGATTTTTTTTTTCTTTGAAATGCCTACAACACATACTTGTTTTATTGAATTTTAAAACATTCTTAGCCTGTTATTCTTTGTTTTGAGTTACCTTCCTTGCACTTTTACAAATGGGGAGCAAGAATGTGCATCTTTGGACAGAGGCAGAAATAAACCCACTTTCCAGGTGGAACCTAAAATGTAGTTTTAAAGGCCTCCATTCGTTAAGGCATCTGGCTAAACTCCTGGTGCAGCAAAACCTCTTTTCTATAAAAAGCACGTTTCACTAAAGTTCTCAGCAGAGGCTCCCAGTTGGACCTTGAAATATAGGAGGGTCTTACGAAGAAGGAACATAATTACATAAGTGCTTTGCTGAATTGAGGCATGAATAATTAAGTATAAAGAATAGAATCACCAAGAGCACTATGAACCAGATTTCTTTTTAATTCAGTATTAAAATACACATTAGCACTGTTGGGAGTTTCCTACAGAAAGCCACTTAGCTTCCAGTGTTAAACCCCACTTTGCTTTTAGCCTATCAGTAGAGGAAAAAAAAAACCCAAAACCCAACATTAAAACCAGCCCTCTAGAAGCTTATAAACCTAAAGAAATACCTGGCAGTTCAAAGGAACTTGAAGCTTATACTGTGTTATAACTACTTGAGATGAAATACTGTCTAGGAATGAGACCAAGAGACTGTCAATCCTAAGTTATATTCTCAGCTTTCACACTGAAGCGGTGAGACGCCTTGGACAAGGAGCTGATCCTCACCATTTGCCATCTGTAAAATGGACATAATACCTACCTCAGAGAGGTGTACAAGGTGACTATCTTTCGGTGTCTTTGAAACAGAAGTGGGAGATACATATTTATTGTCTGCCATGTTTGCAAATGCATTGACTTTGGGGAGCAACACTTAGATTTTAGCTTTGTATCCTGGATGGTTTTCTGAAAGTGCGTAAAAATATTTTTTTGGTATTTCTCGGTTGCAGTATTTTTAAAATTAGCTTTATTTAATCCAGAGTGTTTAGCTTTGCTATATCATGTTTGCATTGGAAATCTGCTAACAGAGAATCAGTTCCATTTGAGGGAAATGTGTCAATATCACTGCGTAGATGTTCTGTTTCATTGCCTAGAAAATAAAATCTCTTTGGTTAAAAAATGTCAACTGAACTGCTGTAATTCATCTTTGTAAAAGTTGATCGCTGAGAAACTCATTCAAAGAGCAAGTAACCTGTGGTATTGACCGTGAGTGGGAAGACCTTATGTGATTCTCCTAAACTCTCCCAAACAGAAATATCAACGTTATTTAAAATGTAAGATATGGATACATTTAAAATACAACTCACTCCCTTTTTTCTAAATGTTGTAAATGTTAGGGGGTTTTTAAATATCTCTTTACCAGCATTTGCCTGCCCTTAATGATACAATTACGGAAGTATCACAAAAATGGCATCCTGGTACTAGTAGGATGAACTTCTGAACATCACTAACACATTTGCACTGAACTGTTATTAATTGTACAGCAAGATGTTAGTTACAGATATTTAGAATAGAGGTGGTATGGGACGTAGGCTCAGGTACTGGCAGGGAATGACGCCGCCTGTCCAGACCAGTCCAGAAAGCCTGTAAGATACGGGCTTATGGCCTTACCATTACTCTTACTCCCATTCACATTTAAAATGAGCACTCATTTCCTTGCCAAATACTTTAGTACAGAGGTCAGCAACTAAATGGGCCCTGGAAACTGAAATTTTTGCCTCGGAGGTGTGCTTACTAAAAGCTGGGTTATTGGTATTGTTTTACCAATCTATGCAGTTCTGGATCTTCAATTCAATAAAGAATTCTGGTTTCCTGGTGCCAGTCTGGCCATTTCACCAGCACTAAATTCCTTCTTTAATTAAAGAAGAGCCTAACACTCTAATCATGTGGCCTTTCACAAACATGTTATATTGTATGAAGAGATACACATCTCGTGGTTATAACAGCACTTTAAAAGCTTGTCCGAGTTTACATGTTGAGCAGATGTTGAGCAAGGACTTTCACTGATGTAGGCAGTGCGTGTTCCCGTTGCAGTAAAACGAGTGGTGTTAGCAGACGTTTCTAAGAGTCTTACTAATGTAATCCAGCGGTATAGTGTTCTGTTTTGTGTAGCATCATTACAGATCAGTTGGTATAACATTTCCTTAAACACGTGCCCTGAATTGTAAAAATTGTTGATGCACCAATAAACGTGACTGATGCATGCGTACTTGTTTAGTGTAGTCTGTGCCTCGGTTCTCGAATTTAAGCTTTGTGCTCTATTCACCGCTGCTCACCAGTGCGTTTTCTAGGTCTTCACAGCTATGCAATGCAGCCTTTGAGCAGCTGGCATCAGCTTTCCCTCTGTCTCATTCCCTTTTTTCCTTGACTCTGAGACAGTCATGGCGAGAGGGACGCAGCCTCGCAATCTGTTCAGGACGAAGCTCCTTCACTTTCAACTTATTCAACAATAACTTTTCTTTTAATAGTAAAATACTTCCTCTGTGTGATTAGAGTCAGGTATCAAGAGGAAAAACTGTGAAGAGAGTTTTACATACCTCCAGAATCTTTTATGCATTTAAATATATAAATCATTAAGTAGACAGACTTTGGGAAGAGTTGGGTTCAGTAGCACACGTATCTACTTCATGGATGCAACTGCCTGAAAGACCGGTCTTGGGAGTAAATCGGTAATATTCTGAAGTTCTGAAGGACAAACTTAATTCCTTACTTCCGGATGAACTTACGTAAAAAGAACAATTGCTGGGGAGAGGACTGAGAAAAGGAACATCCTGTTACACAGTACAGAATCGGTATCTTAAATCTGCACCTTTTCATGTGCACGGTCACCGCAGAGGCCACTCGTGGTAGTTTGGGAACAGCGTCTCCTCTTGCCATCCCGCTTTTTCTAAGGACCTGTTCAAGAATATAACAGTGCTACAATCGCGATCCGCCCTGGGGCAACAAAGCCACCGTGAAACTGCACTGGCAACACAGGAACACAGCGTTCATTCTTATAAACATTTTTGACCTAAGCAGCGTTATTTATTTGCCCTTCTTGACTTTGGAGGAAGCAGGAGTGAGAGGGCAGGCACGAATGAAGAAAATGCAGAATTTCTCCGCTGACTGCCTTAAACACAGAAATCCCAAAAAATCGATGGATTTTTTGAGAAACCAGACTGACACAACCGCTGAAGTGTCTGTGCTGGGCAGATTTCACCGGCCGCAGCGCGGGCAGCACCAGCGGGTGGCTCTGGCTCCTGCCCCGCGCGAACCCAGCCGGGGGTAAGCCCTCAAACCTCGCCCTGGCAGGGAAACCCTTTAATGAGAGGAGCAAAAAATTTTCAGCTTGCTATTTTGAAAATTACAACTCTCTATCATACAAATGAAATGTCTGCCTGCATTTTAAATGAAGCTATGCATCCAGCTGTAGAACTGCCATCAGGTTGTGCTCTGCTCTGGACTGGGCAGAATAAAATTACTTCAAATTGGTTGAAATCAATATTGTTTTTTTCACTCCTCTGAGTCTGAGCACCAGAACGCTTTCTGTAACAAAAGAATGCAATAGGGGAGTTAGCAAAATTAGGTTGTCCAAGATTGCAGTGTCCTTGTCTATTACTTTTAATTAAAGCCTTGGGGAATTGTATTATACCTTGAGAGCTGACTCCTCGTTTCTGATGTAGAGTTAATGCTAACCACGCTATGGAAACAGATCACCTCAGTTCTCTACCTCCTTTCTGTAAAATAGGGATAACAAATAGGGTTCCTTGCTTAGTTCCCAGCCATATTAAGATTTAATTATTTCTCTAAACTGCTGTGTAATACTAGGTATTAACTACCTACTATTTTTCATAATTGATTTGTCAGCATACATACTGTACATACAATTTGGTCTAAGGAAAGCATCCAACAGTCCTACAGAGTCAAATAAACGTCGTTACATTGACAGGTATCTTATCAGTGACGCTGTGTGGAT